ATAACACCAATATATTCAAAATCATTTCAAATTTCATGAGCACAAGACATTATTACACTATTATTACTCATCTCTCTCTAAGTATTGTGTTTTGAGCCAACAAGATTAAGTATGGAATTTTTGTAATGTGATTTGTGAAATAGAAAAAGCCAAATCGGGTACCAAACATCCACTTTACCTCCTTGTGTACTTTTATTACTACTATATGCATTATTTTCAACCTTCACAAACATAGGCTCCCTTACCCGTCCACATCTCAACTGTCTACTCTTACTCTCAAAGCTTCCACTATAAAATTTCTGCTCGGAACCAACATCGCTACCCGCATCTTCACTTACAATATGCCTACTCGCCCTTCTCTCTCCATCATCTTCCTCTTCTTCTGCTCTCTCTCATTCAATGTAAGTGTGTACATTTGTTTTGCTATTCATCTCTCTCTTGTGGAAAAAAATTGATTCCTTTTTGGTCTGCAGGTGAGTCTTGGCGGTGGGGATTCCGGCGAATCCAACCCCTTCACGCCCAAGGCTGTTGCGATTCGCTATTGGAAGACTCAGATTTCCAACGAGCTGCCCAAGCCGTGGTTTCTGCTCAACAAGGCCTCGCCGTTGAGCGCCGCCCAGTACGCCAGCTTCTCAAAGCTGGCGGCGGACCCAAAGTCCCTCGCCGCTCAGCTTACCGGGTTCTGCTCCTCCGCCAATCTGCTCTGTTTCCCCGATTTGAATCCCAGTCTCGAGAAGCACACCCAGGACGCGAATTTCGCCGTCTATTCTGAGAAGAATTTCACCAATTACGGGACGGGTAAGGCGGGAGGGTTTGACTCGTTCCAGAAATACTCGGAGAACGAGAATATCCCGGCCGATTCGTTCCGCCGGTACAGCCGCGACTCTGCCGGAAACAGTGAAGGGTTTGACGCATATGCGACGGGCGGCAACGTAATTGACGAGAAATTTAATACCTACGGCGCCAGATCCACAGGCGGGGATGGGGAGTTTTCGACCTACGCGCAGGATGTCAATTCGGTCGGCATTGGATTCACCTCCTACTCCGACAACAGCAACGGGCGGGGGCAGGGATTCGGTAAATATTCGGAGAATGCCAACGCCGGCGACCAACGGTTTGCAAACTACGGAAAGAACGGCAATGGAGAAGTGAATGGATTCAGTAGCTATGGGAACAACTCCAATGTGGTCGGGTCCACGTTCAAAACCTACGGCCAGGCTGCCAACGCCGCTAATGACACCTTCACCGGCTACGGAGTCAACGGCAATGTCCCCCAGAACAACTTCGCGGTGTACGGCGCCGGCGGTAACGCCGCCGTCGACACTTTCAGCACCTACAGGGATCAATCCAATGTGGGAGACGATTCTTTCCAATCGTACGGGAAGGATTCCAGCTCTGGCGAGTCTACCTTCCTTAATTACGGGAAATCCTTCAACGAGGGTAGCGACAAATTCACAGGCTATGGCTCCCTCAAAACCACATTTTCCGGCTACGGCCCGAACAACACTTTCAAGGACATCGACCGGAAGGGAAACATTGTGAAATTTGCAAATTATATGAACGCGAGCTCCCAGGTCACGGGCTCGCTCGCGAAGGGAAAGGCCAGCATCAGCAGGTGGGCGGTGGAGCCGGGGAAGTTCTTCCGGGAGAAGCTGTTGAAGAGTGGGACGGTGATGCCGATGCCGGACATTCGGGACAGGATGCCCAAAAGGTCCTTTTTGCCCCGCCGCATCGCCACAAAGCTGCCCTTCTCCACCTCGAAGATCGGCGAGCTTGAGGAGCTCTTCCATGCCGCCGGCGACGATTCCACCATGGCCAAGATCCTCTCCGACGCGCTGAAGGAGTGCGAGCGAGCGCCGAGCCGGGGGGAGACCAAGCGCTGCGTCACCTCCGTGGAGGACATGATCGACTTCGCCACCAGCGTTCTGGGGCGAAACGTCGTCGTTCGGTCAACGGAGAGCACGCTGGGGTCGAAGCAGGACATCCTGATCGGGTCGGTCAGGGGAATCAACGGTGGAAAAGTCACTAAATCAGTGTCCTGTCACCAGACCCTGTTCCCGTACCTAGTGTATTACTGCCACTCGGTTCCCAAAGTCCGGGTCTACGAAGCGGATATTTTGGATCCGGATACCAAGTCCAGGATCAACCACGGCGTCGCCATCTGTCACATTGACACTTCATCATGGAGCCCGACCCACGGAGCCTTCGTCGCCCTCGGTTCGGGTCCGGGCAAAATCGAGGTCTGCCACTGGATCTTCGAGAACGATATGACTTGGGCAGTTGCGGATTAAGACCCGCATCTTCGGGTCGAACCGGGCGCGTTCGAAAATAGTTACCACTGGGTTGACCCATTTTACTACGTGTCTGCATTCGTTATGTTCAGTAATAATTAATTAATGTCTTTTGTCTTTTCCGATGTTTTAATATAAGGTAATCAATCCTCTAAATAAGAGTAAATAAAAGCTCAAGAATAAAAAGTAATATCCGAAATTCTCTAAACAGAAATAACTCGACTCTTCTAAATACAAACTTATCAACAATTTAATAAGTATATCATATTATTAATAAAAAATAAAATACTTAAATATTTTTATTTAAGAACATAAGGAAATAATTAAATAAAATGATTCAAAAATTTAAAAATACAAAACTAAATTAAAAAATAATACTTCAAAAGTAAAACTAAAAATATGTAAGACCTTGTCGCCACCGTTTCCACCTCCTTCCTGCACAAAAAACAGCAACTTATTTTTTACTTATTTTTAACATTTTTCCAAGGAGAGATTGTGCGCTAGGGGTGGGCACAGAAATGGAACCCTACTCACACCAAAGTGAACCATAATTGTCCCAAATTAATTATTACATAATTAATGGTTTTATATATTTATATTCCGCACTAAAATTGAAATGGGTACGGGGTTGATTATATATATTCTGAAAACCGAAAAATATCGGAACAAATCATTCAAAGATAATACATTTGAGATTTTTATATTTTCTCATTTCAATAAATCTATCGTTAATACCAACAATTTTATAGCTCAAGTATCCATCATTCACCCCAAAAATAACTATGTGTGTGCTAACATAGAGAACTCTTCTTGTCAGATCGGCTTGACGGGAACCTCCGTCCGGCCGAGCCCGTTTGGTCACCTTTTTCGGTGGAATTTTTTGATTAAATTTTTTGAACATGTTCTTCATCAAGTCTGGTTTATGCATACCAAATTTCAGCTAAAAACTCAATCGGGAAGGCACTCAAATCATTTTTTGAAATTAACTGAGTCAAAATATACATATAAAAACGCAGTCAACTTCAAAAAAAGATTTGAATGTCTTCCTGATCAAATTTTAAGCTGAAATTTGGTATGGACAAACTAGACTTGATGAGGAACATGCTAAAAAAGTTTCATCAAAAAATTCCACCGGGAAGGTCGCCAAAAGGACTCGGCCAGACGGCTCTCCCGGTCAGGCCGGCTTGACATGATGATTTCTCTGCTAACATAAATGTCGTTTTCCATTCTTTTTAGATGATTTATGATCTATTTGGTATAAATTGAAAGAGTACTAAAGTTTTAAAATCATGAATGACTATTAACTTTCAGTATTGTAGTGTATATAACTATTTGTTGTATCATAATTATGTTGTTTTGCAACTTAATTAACATTGGTTTTTAAATTTATAAGCTCTCACGATTCAACTACGAATTAAAACTAATATTCAACCTAGTTTTAATTTTCCTTTATTTTTCTTCAACAACTTTTTTCTTTTATTTTGTACTTTGAGACGGTATGTCATCTCTGAGGAGGTCGGCTTGATTATCTCTTCTTTTATACTCTTTTATAATTTTAATAGAGTACTGGTAAATGTTTCCCGACATTCAACCTACAGCAAAGATCAAGGATGATGATTTTTTATTGTATTTAATAATGTGATGATATTCTTTTTATGTTTTGACGTGAATTTAAAGATATATGATATAATCTGACGTATCCTCATTTTGCTATATTTTTCCTTAATTGTGTTACATTATTTGTGTATTTGCAAAACTTAAGGAAAAAATATAAGTTTCTTGAATCTCATTTAGTTTGCTCAATCTTTTATTTTTATCAACGTTTAATATGAACTTGCCGGTAGGATGATAACTACTCATTGTAAAATTTTCAAAAAAATAGCTTTGGTTTGACACTATACTGTAATTTTTAAAACATCATGACACCATACCATCATGGTAAGATTTTCAAAAAAAAAAAGTATTGGTTTGACAAAGTACAATCTTCACGAGTATATTACGTGTTTTGCTAAGTTACCAGATCATTCTGGATCGCACCTAGTCCTATTGTAACACCGCCCCCAAGTATTTGTACTTTATCAAGTCATGTATTGAACCATGAGAAATGAATAAACGCATCGTTACGCGATTGTCAATTTTTATCATTCTTTAACGTGAATAGTAAAATTCGCGTGGGGCCCACACCGGAAGTGGGGGCCGCCCGATATTATCGGGACCACATATTATATTCATCTGGGTCTAGAGAATATGTACATGATGGTGGATATCCATGTTGGCCATATAAACCATGTGTGTTGGCCAGTTGTGCAAATAAAGCCCATTTATCGGTACCCGGGTGTACTGACAGATAAAAGCCATAATAAATTATGGAGACCGCTAAATTAAAAGTTGGTGAATCTAAATTCATTCTTATATCCAATAATGAGTGGAAGAATGATAGATATTTCATTTTACCCGATAAAATGAAATGTAGTTAAAACAGTCCGGAAAATACAACTTTCGGGACCGAGTGTACATTTGGGGACGCAAAGGGATGACCACCCATCAAAGTGGGGGCCAACCCACGTTTTTAGTCTTGCAAACAGCAAGATGAGCCGCACACTAGGCTGCTGAGTGAGGCCTGAGGTGATTGGGAGACAAATGAGAAGGAAAGGGGGACCTTCCTCTCATATTATTGCTAATAAGCCAAAAAGGAAACCTCCATCACCCCCACATCTCACCCACTCGACTCACCTATCCATTTTTGAGAGAGAAGCTCTTCAAATCATCATCTTCATCCACCATATTCGAACCAAAGCTTAAGGAGAAGAAGGAGGGGAAAGAGAAGAGGAAGAAGGAGGAAAACTTGAGGATTAACAAGGTAATAACTCCATTAATCTCATCCCTCTTCTCTAATCTTCCAAATATGATTATATAATCATATTTCATACCCCTAGGATCATTCCACATGTTATATGTGAAGAATAAATGGTTGGGAGGTTGGTTCTTATCCAAAACGGATTTAGAGAACAAAGTTGACCGTTTCACCGGAAAATAACCTTTTAGAGGTTATTTTTGTTGATGAGGGTTTTATGATGATAAAACCTTGTTGTTAACTTGTATAAGGTGCTTCAAGGACTTTCACGGAGTTGAAAGAGTTGCCGGAGTTGTCACCGGAGTTCGTTGAAGTTCACCGGAGTTTCACCGGGGCTAAATCGGAAAGGCTAGAACTTTATAAGCTTCATTAAGGTGAGAAGACGGCTATATGCTTTATAACTTTTGATTGAGGCATGAGATTACCTAAAGTAATCAAGTATATGTTTTATGGGATGATTAAAGTTAATCAAGTATGGGCTTATGCCATGAATATATATAAAACAAAGTTGAAAGGCATGTTTGTATGTTTGGTGATTAAAAATGTGATAACTTATTATGTACAATGATCCAGGGGTCAAAAATGGTATTTTTGGATCAAGGACTTCAAGTAGAATGTGCATATAAAATTTCACGTTAATCGGACTTCGTTTGGGCGGTCAAACGGGCGTTGACCGCCGAGACAAGGGTGATACCCGACCGGGTAAGATGGATACCCGACCGGGTATTGATTAAATTCGGCTCCAGAAGCCACTGCCACACTAGACCCGACCGGGTAAGGTCAGGGACCCGACCGGGTCTCAAGTAAAGTCAGTTCCAGGGGCTTCTGCCCGGCCCTACCCGACCGGGTAAGGTGGATACCCGACCGGGTATTGGTTTATACTCAAAACGGGTAGCTTTTGAGTAGGATAACGTGGACCGATCAGGTGGGACCCGTCCACATTGGTTACTAAGGATTATTATATGACTATAGGACTAGGTATTGTCCATAGTTAAGTGAATGCAAGGTTAGCCATATCCAGGTTAGGGTTTGGTTAGAATTAAGGTTGAGGTTGAGCATCCTCGGGACGGTAAATGATCCCAAAACTCGGAGAGGTTGAGTATCCTCAGGACGGTAAACAATCCTAAAACTCGGTGAGGTTGAGTATCCTCAGGACGGTAAACAATCCTAAAACTCGGTGAGGTTGAGTATCCTCAGGACGGTAAACAATCCTAAAACTCGGTGAGGTTGAGTATCCTCAGGACGGTAAACAATCCTAAAACTCGGTGAGGTTGAGTATCCTCAGGACGGTAAACAATCCTAAAACTCGGTGAGGTTGAGTATCCTCAGGACGGTAAACAATCCTAAAACTCGGTTGAGGTTGAGCATCCTCGGGACGGTAAATGATCCCAAAACTCGGTTGGGGTTGAGTATCCTCGGGACGGTAAACCCTCCTGAAACTCGGTAGGATATTATGAAGGTAGAATGTAGCTCTCAAGCTAGGCATTCAGGAATGAAAAGGGGATAGGTTGGGAAAGTACCTTATCTCTAAAAGACTCTTTGTGATAAAACGACCTACGGGTCAAGTATTTTACAAGTATATACATTATGTATTATCTTGGGAATGGGGTAACAATGGTTACACCTATAAGCATATGTATCACCCTATTTTTGGGTCTCGTGTCTGAAACATTAGTTATTCCTCATATAGCCTGCTTGTCACTAGTACTTCTATGGAGTACTGACCCCTTCGGGGGCCCTCACATTTTTCAGGTTGAGGCTAGAGTCCTACTACCTGCACCTTCGCCAAGGGTGATTGATCAAAGAGGAAGACGTGGTTCGTGCTTCCATTCTTATTCAAAGTTTATAAACTGCTCATGGATGTTTTTAACAATGTTTTCCATTAAAACATTTGAGGGGCCTGCGTGTCCGTATTTGCCACGTGTGGCTAAGTATCAAACATATCTTATTTTCCGCATTCGTTGACTAATATATATTGATGTTGATTGTATGGGTTTACTAATCGGTTTGGCAATAGAACTCAACGGACGCCTTGTATGATTCAATAAGAATGAACTACGTTGTTCTTATTGGGTTGTACGGCGGTTGTCTACGTGGCACGGATGCGGTCCGGGGCGTGACAATTAAGTGGTATCAGAGCCATCGATTTCTAAACTATATAATTAACCTCTCAATATAGTATCATCAAAAAAGTTTTGAACAAAACCATGAGCAAAAGTTTTTGTACTTAAGGAACCGTTGGAAACCAAGTTATTGACCTCTTATTGTTAAGACGGTACCCTTAACAGTTTGTTGGCCATAATGTTGGACCAAGTGGTGTCTTTTGTACTATTCCGTCAATTGACATTGATACGAGTCTAACGACTCATTCCAAATTTCTTTCAGAAATGGAGGGTAGACACATGGCTACGAGGAACAACCCGAGAGGGCAAACTCAGGCGACGTCCGTAGGGGCCAGCCAGGTTGCATCTCGGGGTGCGAGAGGCGGTAGGAGAGGCCGTGGAGGTCATCAGGCTCAAACCGTGAGCGATGGCCATGTTAGCTCGGTGCATGGGACTCACACCGAGGATTATGACTCAACATATGTTCCCGAGACGGAACATGAGGAGACCCCATATGATGGGGGTGACACGTACACTGATGATGACAATGATGAGAGTGATGCCAAATTCGCCCAGATGGGTGAATTGTTTGAGTGGTATCAAAAGGAAAAGCTGAGGAGAGATCTTAGGCGCCAAGCTAGGCGTGCCTCTCAGGGAGGTTCGGGTCAGGGAAGCCGGGGGGCTTCAGTGGCCATCCCTGTGGCGACACAGGGGGTACAGGGGAGAGGTTTCTGTGTAAGAATCTCCAAATACCTCAAGGAGGCGAGGGCCTTGGGGTGTAAGTCATTTGATGGCAAGGGTGATATATCGGTGGCTGCCGACTGGATCAAGAAATTGAATGAGGCTGCTAGGGATATGCAGATCGGGCTTGACATAAAGCTAACGATTGCTACCAGGCTACTACAGGGGGTAGCTGCTGTATGGTGGGAAGGCGTGGAAGGAAAGTTCCACGGTGAGACCACCTGGGAGAAATTTGAAGTAGAATTCTATAATCAGTACTACTCAGAGTTCGAAAAGAACCAGAAGAGGAAGGAGTACATGACCCTGGTACAGGAGGAGGATTGCTCGGTGAGGCAACTGGAACAAAGGTTCCGGGACTTGGCACGGTACATACCCGAGTACGCCATGGATGAGAACCGTATGGCTAATCACTTCTGGGACACCCTACACTTGGATATCCGTGATCGGGCTACCTACAATCATCACATGACCTTTAGTGAGATTGTGGATCAGGGGCTACTTGGGGAAGCCAAGTGGAATGAAAGGAAGAAGAGAGACGCCGAAGAGGCGAAGAAGAGAAGATGGGGGAATTCTGGACCCCAAGACCATTCTCGGAAACATCACGCCGGGAATGGAAGATCATTCAGGGCGCCGGAACCACCGGCAAAGAAGAGTAAGGGCCCAGGAGGGCAAGGGCATAGCTCGGGGAGCGTGAGGCCACCAAGGTGTCCAAACTGTAACAGGAATCACTCCGGGAAGTGCAATGAACCACCCCGGTGCTACAAGTGTGGTAGCACAAGCCACCTCAAACCCTCTTGCCCAATGTTGAGTGGAGGTGGGCCATCGGGAGCTGTGGAGGCACCTACGTCTGGAAGGGGTCGTGCAGGACCATCTCAGGGCGGCACGGGAAGGGGCGGACCTACGGCAAGCAATGCCGCGTCCGTTAACCAAGGTAGGACCCAGGCACGAGTGTATGCAATGACCGAGGCGGATGCGCGAGCAAACCCGGACTCCGTTGCAGGTAATATACTAAAATTTTATATGTTTCTAGGCTTATACTAAAGATATAAGTCCTAAGGGTCAATTGCAAACTGACTTAGGGTCGAATCGGGGGGAATTCAACGAAACCAGGCTGATACCCGACCGGGTAAGGCAGGTCACCCGACCGGGTATACTGAGATTTTGGCCTGGTAAACCCACTGGAACGATTACCCGACCGGGTATCGAAGGTTACCCGACCGGGCAGAATGAAAATTTTTACCCGCAAGCTTCTGGAACGGATACCCGACCGGGTACAACAGGTTACCCGACCGGGTATACCAAATTTCCATACCCGCTGGCTTCTGGATTGGATACCCGACCGGGTACAAAGGTGTACCCGACCGGGTATTGCTGTATATTGTAAATTACGGACTTTTTCGGGGCCTACAGTTCAATTTAGGTAGGCAAGGTACCTTACATGACTTATAATTGTAGGAACGTTAAAGATTAATGGAAGGGATGCGAGGATCCTTATCGATACGGGAGCACAACGTTCATTCGTTAGTGAGGTGTTTGCCGTGGGGTTAGGCACACCTTTAATACCAATGATGCAAACCCTTTTGGTATCTACGCCTCTAGGGGATGACGTTGAACGAAATGACTACTATCCTTCATGTGATGTGGAGATAGGGGAGCACTGTCTAAAGGGTGACTTCGTACCGTTAGCCATGCTTGAGTTTGATGCCATACTTGGCATGGACTGGCTTGAAAAGCACCATGCAAAAGTGGATTGCTACACTAAGGTGTTAGAACTCAAGGATGGTGAGGGAAATACTCTATGTTTCAAGGGAGATAGAGAAAGATTCAATCCTTGCATCATATCGGCCATAAGAGCAAAGCGTATGATGGGGAAGGGATGTCCCGCTTACTTAGCCTATGTCATAGGCAAGGAAGGCAAGGGGAAGAGTCTCACAGAAGTGAGGGTGGTGAGAGAGTATCCGGAGGTGTTTCCTGAAGAGCTACCGGGACTCCCACCCGATCGGGAGATTGAGTTCGAGATCGAGGTCGAACCAGGCACCAAACCCATCTCAATTCCTCCGTACCGAATGGCACCGGCTGAACTTCAAGAGTTGAAAGTTCAATTGGAAGAGCTACTAGATAACGGATTCATTAGACCGAGTCATTCGCCATGGGGAGCACCCGTACTCTTTGTAAAGAAGAAGGATGGTACAATGAGAATGTGTATCGACTACCGTCAATTGAACAAGGTCACGGTAAAGAACAAATACCCTTTGCCAAGGATTGACGACTTGTTTGATCAATTACGAGGGGCAACCGTGTTCTCCAAGATCGACTTGAGGTCGGGCTACCATCAACTGAAGATCAAGGAGAGTGACATACCCAAGAGTGCATTCCGTACAAGGTATGGTCACTACGAGTTCCTAGTGATGTCGTTTGGGCTTACAAATGCCCCCGCGGCGTTCATGGACCTCATGAACCGAGTATTTCATCAATACTTGGACCAATTCGTCATAGTGTTCATTGATGACATTTTGATATACTCCAAGAACGAAGAGGAACACGAGAAACATCTAAGGCTCGTGCTTGAAACACTGCGGGAGAAGCAACTCTTTGCCAAATTCTCTAAATGTGAATTTTGGCTTGGGGAGATCGGATTTCTCGGGCATGTGGTATCGGGCTCGGGCATTTCAGTTGATAACTCAAAGATTGAAGCAGTCACGAATTGGGAGAGGCCCAAGAATGTGAAGGAGATAAGGAGTTTCCTTGGTCTAGCGGGGTATTACCGCAAATTCGTGGAGAAGTTCTCTGTGATAGCATCTCCACTCACGAAGCTCACTAAAAAGGGAGCTAAGTTTGTGTGGGATGACAAGTGTGAGAAGGGGTTTCTTGAGCTAAAGAAACGGTTGACCGAAGCGCCAGTGCTTGCTCTACCCGTGCAGGGGTTAGGGTATGACATTTATAGCGATGCTAGCATCCAGGGGCTTGGGTGCGTGCTGATGCAATCAGGTAAGGTAATTGCTTATGCTTCTCGGCAATTGAGGAAGCATGAAGTGAATTACCCCACTCATGACCTTGAGCTAGGAGCGGTGGTGTTTGCTTTGAAGATTTGGAGGCATTACCTCTACGGTGAGGTGTGTCACATCTATACTGATCACAAGAGTTTGAAGTACGTGTTCACTCAGAAAGAGTTGAACATGAGGCAAAGAAGATGGATGGAGTTAATCAAGGATTACAACTTGATTATTGATTACCATCCGGGTAAGGCTAACGTGGTTGCTGATGCTCTCAGTAGGAAAAGCTCATCAGGGGTTTTACTCACATGCTTACGAGCATTGAGGGCGCACGTGGAAGTATCCACGAATGGGGCTTTATTGGCCAGATTTGAGGTGAGACCCACCTTATTAGATGAAATCAGGACGCGTCAAGGCAATGATGAGGAAATTCAGAAAATCCGGGAACGAATGCTGGTGGGACCCGTCGAGGGTTTCCGGGAGAGAGAGGATGGACTCTTACTGTTCAAGGAACGGGTGTGTGTGCCATCAGATGGGGAGCTCCGTAAATCTATCCTTGAGGAGGCCCACTCATCTGCGTATGCCATGCACCCAGGTGGTACAAAGATGTATCGGGACTTGAAAGAAAGTTACTGGTGGTCGGGGATGAAGAGAGAGATTGCAGAATTTGTGAGCCGCTGTCTTACCTGTCAGCAGGTTAAGGCGGAGCACCAGCACCCGGCGGGGTTATTACAGCCGCTTACCATTCCAGAATGGAAGTGGGAACATGTTACCATGGACTTCGTGGTAGGTCTACCACGGACTGTTAGAAACTATGATGCGGTATGGGTGGTGGTTGATAGGTTGACCAAAAGTGCTCATTTCCTGCCTATTAACACTACTTATACGCTTGAGCGGCTGGCCAAGTTGTACACAGATGAGATCGTGAGACTGCATGGGGTTCCGGTTACGATAGTATCGGATAGAGACCCACGGTTCACATCACGGTTTTGGCCTAAGTTCCAGGAATCCATGGGAACAAAGTTGAGGTTTAGCACGGCATTCCATCCTCAAACGGATGGGCAATCTGAACGGGTGATTCAGATTTTGGAGGACATGTTGAGGGCATGTGCCTTGGAGTTCCAAGGAAGTTGGGACAACCAGTTGGCATTGGTGGAATTCGCCTATAACAACAGTTATCAGGCAAGTATAGGCATGCCTCCATACGAGGCATTGTATGGGAGGAAATGCCGGACACCTTTGTGTTGGGATGAGGTTGGCGAGGCCAAGCTTGAGGGTACTGAACTAGTTGAGATCACCAAGGAGAAGGTGAAGGTTATTCAGGAGAGGCTGAAGGCTGCCCAAGATCGACAGAAGAGCTATGCAGATAAACGCCGGAGGACGTTGGAGTTTGAGGTTGGCGATGAGGTGTTTCTGAGGGTGTCACCTTGGAAAGGGATCATCAGGTTCCTCAGTCGGGGTAAACTTAACCCACGTTACATCGGCCCATTCAAAATCATTGAAAGGATTGGGGCTGTAGCGTACCGACTTCAATTAACTCCAGAATTGGAAAAGATCCATAATGTATTTCATGTTTCCATGCTCAAGAAGTATGTACGGGACCCGTCACATATTCTTGAGAAACCACCGGTAGAAATCCGAGAAGATCTACACTATGCAGTGCAACCGGTAAAGATCATGGACCGACAGGTAAAGAAGCTAAGGAGTAAAGAGGTACCGATGGTAAAGGTACTTTGGAAGAGTGATCGTGTCGAGGAGCAAACTTGGGAAGTGGAGACCCTGATGAGGGAACAGTATCCATTTTTGTTTGACTAGACACGTGGATTTCGGGGACGAAATCCCAAATAAGGGGGGTAGAACTTGTAACACCGCCCCCAAGTATTTGTACTTTATCAAGTCATGTATTGAACCATGAGAAATGAATAAACGCATCGTTACGCGATTGTCAATTTTTATCATTCTTTAACGTGAATAGTAAAATTCGCGTGG